TGATAAACTTCTTTATTTAAAAGGTCATGTAGGTAAGTCATAAAACGTATCAAATGGAGCGACAGGCCGGACAATTCGTTAACATGAAGTATGCATATTACAATTACTTGTTGCAAATCAAGTACTCATGACAAATTTCCATGCATTTTCCTCATGTTCTATACTTTACGTTTTGCTTATAATTTAAGTACAAAACTTAATGACATACCAAGCAAATGAGGAAGAATACGATGACAGCAAGCTGAAAAACTGAAAGAATCTTATTTGCAGGCCACCAAATATAACGCTTCAATTCCCTTATCGTAGTAGGACGTCGATTGGAGCCTGTAGGAGTACTTGAACTTGAAGACAGATCTGCAGGCTGAAATGAACCATCGAACAGCGTTATGGTTTTGAAACCGTTTTTGGTAACAATAATTGACAGATAATTGGCTTTCACACGCAATTGCAATATGCAAATTGTGTCTGAGCATATAGAGTATGAACGTATTTCGAGATCAACACTTCCAAAGGGCTTGAAACCAGTTTGCAACCTTATCTCAGTCATAAATGGGCAAACTTTCTTAAACGTTTTATAATTAAATTTTAAGAATACTGGCACACGCTAGCGACCGCGTTTATAAACCAAATAAATACAAGAGCAGCGAAAATTAATTACACTCTATAAGTCGATGAAGCCTTTTCTATATTCTTAATAACGCTGAATTGCAGGGCTTAGTCAAACATATACCAATTAACGCCTATCAAACGGCGACAAATGTATCGGCTTGGGACAATATCCAGAATTAAAATTCCTTATTACGTTGAGTTCAAATATTCGGATTCCTCGATGTGCACAGATCACAGACGTATATGTAACCGATAGACTACGACAATATGATACCTTGTGATGTCTTCCCATAATGGCTGTTTGTAATTAAACGTTGTTTTCTATCTATTCTTCTGTGGAATGTTTATCCAAGTATACACAAATGTTCCTAGATGTACTCGAGTTCGCATCGACCGATTCCGAGAATCGAAAGCGGACCCAGTTTCCCCGCTGAATTTAC